CTCTATCATCTGCTCTCCTTTTGCACTCTCTCACCACTCTCTTCACCTCTCTTTTACTCTCCACATATTCTACTCTTCTTATAACACTTCTGCTTTGTAAAAACCTCTCATAAGCTAACCTTTTCTCTTTTATCATGCCCTTTACTTCATCATTCCACCAATCACTCCTCTTTCCTCCTACACCCACCCTTCTATAACCACAAACTTCTGCCCCACATTCTAATACTGCGTTTTTAAAACTATTCTAACCCTCTTCAACCCCCCATTACTCATACTTGCACCAGCCCAACTTTCTGCCAATAATTGCTTATATCTCACCCGAACTTCCTCCTCCCTTAGTTTATACACTTTCACCTCCCTCTTGCTTGTTGTTGCCATTTTCCTCTTTTCTCATCTACCTCTTACTCTAACTGTAGCTACAACTAAATAATGATCCAATATATCAGTTGTCCCTCTATAAATGTGTACATCCTGGAGCCTGCCCATCAACCTTTTATCCACCAATACATAATCTAACAAACTACTTTCATTATGTGCTATATCATACCTTATATATTTTTTTATCCTCTTCTTCATAAAATATGTATTACTTATTACCAAACCCCTTTCTACACATAGCTCAATTAAAGGCTCCCCATTTTCATTTACCCCTGGTACCCCAAATTTACCTACTACTCCCTCCACAACATTTTTTCCCGCTTTAGCATTGAAATCCCCAACCACCATTACTCTCACACTTGGATCAAAACTCCCCATGCATTCACTCAACATTTCCCAAAATCTCTCTCTCTCCTCTACACTTCTCTCTTCTCCAGGTGCATATACGCTTACTATAATCCACTTTTCACATCCACCCTTTATTTTACTCCACATAATCCTTGAATTAATACATTTATACTCCCTCTTTTCCTGCCATAGCTTATCCTTCAACATTATTGCTACTCCTAATCCCATTTATTTCTCTCCACTGAAATTCTCCCACTCCCTTCAGCTTTGTTTCACTTAAAGCCAGGACATCCAGCTTCTTCTCATTCATAACATCCACAATCATCTCTTTCTTATCATTTGCACAACATCCACACACATTCAGAGATCCCACTTTGACAGTTTTCTTCTTATTCTTTTTAGTAATCATTACAGGAAAAGGGGTTACTAGCCCATTGTTCCCGGCATTTTAGTTGACTTTACAAAATGCATGGCTTACAGAGGAAAGATTCTTATTCCACTTCCCCATGGATATAAAAGGAAAAGTAATAAGAACAAGAACTATTAAGATAAAATCAAAGAAAACTCAGATGAGTGTGTATAAATAAACGTGTACATGTATGTGTAGTGTGACCTAAGTGTAAGTAGAAGTAGCAAGAAGTAGCATATTTATGAGACAGACAAACGACACCAGCAATCCTTCCAATATGTAAAAATGTAAAACAATTACAGGCTTTGGTTTTCACTCACTTGGCAGGACGGTAGTACCTCCCTGGGTGGTTGCTGTCTACCAGCCTACTACTGTTATATTGTATTATTATTATTATTATTATTATTGTTATAATAATAATGATTATTATTATTATTATTAGTAGTAGTAGTGGTAGTACGTACGTACATGGTGATGGGCTCTTGATCTAGGGAATTGGATCTGTGGTCCAGGTCCCTAAATTAATAACAGTGATAATAATTATTATACATATGTACTAATAATAGTAATAATAATACATAATTACGTATAATAAATAATAACAATATAATAATACTATGTACGTACTGCGTATAATTTAGTTAGACAACACCACCACCAGATAGCAGTGTCAATCAAAACAGTGCTTACCAGTGCACATGTGCTTACAGAGCTACCCTCGCAATGCAGAGCTACCCTCGCAATGCAAAGAATTCTCGTGATTTCCTTATGTTTTATGCAGTTAATTCGCTAGATTTCTTTCTTCTAACCATGTGTCCTAAGAAAGCAAGTGGAAAGGAGAGTGACGAGAAGAAAAAGAGGATGATTTGCATGGAATTAAAGCAAGAAATCATTGATAAGCACAGACTGGATATGTAGTGTAGTGAGATAAACATAAAAATTGTACATAGTGACCACTCTCGCTAGCACAATCCTCCTCTCTCTGCCGTCTACATAATGACATATTTTATTCATTCTAGAGTGTATATCAAGCTTTTTTATTTATATTGTTTATTATGTCATATTAGATGAATTGTGACAGATAAATAAGCTGTAGAGTTGATATTAGGGTTATTTTGTCATGCCTCATGAGAGCAGGAATTCAACTGGAACGAATTAATTGCATTTCAGTTAATTTAAATGAGGAAAATTGACCCAGCATACGAACAAATCAGGATACAAAGAAGTCCAAATAACGGATTAAATTCGTAAGCCGAGGTTCCACTGTATAACTTCGTGTGTGTTTCTAAACTGTTGTATCTGGGTGCCTCTGCAAAGACAGTGATTGTGTATGAGTGAGGTGAAAGTGTTGAATGATGATGAAAGTATTTTATTTTTGGGGATTTTCTTTCTTTTGGGTCACCCTGCCAACTTGTTGAAAAAAAAATAATAATAATTATAATAACCTTTATTTCTACAAGTGAAACTGGGTGTTGCCATGAGCTCTCTAACTCTCTTGGTTCCATCTGGAAACTTTCCAAAGTTTTAAGTGTTTTAAAGTTATTATGTTGTAAGGCTCTTACTTTAAATGAACTCTAAGGAGAAAGTGTTGCAGAAAATTAAGTGCTACACCAGTGAACACTAAACATGATAAAATTATTTCTGACATAAAAACTTTAACTGGTGTGGAATGAAGATTAAACTAGTCGCAACGTGCCTTTAACCCTTTGACTGTCGCAAGCCCCTTTCTGAAATTGTCATTCTATGCCGCAAAATTTTTGGAAATTTTTTTTTTTTATGAAATGATAGAGAATCTTTTCCTGATGGTAATGACACCAAAAGTATGAAATTTGGTCGAAAACTCATGAAATTACACTCCCGCAAAGTTAGCGGTCTCGGCGACATATACACTTCGGCGATTTCACCGACTTTGAGCCCTGTTTTTGGCCAATTTTGTTGTTTCCAGTTGACCAAACTCATAGCTATTTCTTTAGAACTCCATTTTTTCTATCAATTAAGTACAAGAAACCGCCCATTTACCGATTTGAACTACCCAATAAAGTGGTCAGAAATTGGCAATTTGGCCAATTTCAACTAAATTAAAAAATGGCAATTTCAAAATAGGGTCCAGAATAAACAATGTAGACATTCTTGGCACTAAAATAACATATCCTCTGTTCATTAGTCACATCTCTAGGCCCCTCTTATATTACTATTGCTTTCTATTTTGATTTTTTATTCATACAAAACATACAAAATTTACTGTTATGCAGACTACTGCATTATTGTAAAAATGGTATAAATATAATCAGTGCACTAGTGAAAGAATACTAGACTCCTCAGTTGACGTGTATTGGACGTGTGCTGTGATTTGCTTACTCCTGAACATTGGTAAAAATTGAACATTTCCGCTACTTTGAGCGTTGTCATTGTGAAACTAATCAAAATCATCTCTGTTTCTGTAATGTGTTTTCCATTTTATCACGTGAGATTATGAAAATGAGAATACATTGATAAATACTATACGAAAATACACCTCAAAGTCGGCGTTTTAATCCAAAAAAACAGTCATTTTTTTTTTTCTCATTACACACTGCATGCTGCAGGATTTTTTTTACGTGGTGCACACTGACCACACAGACCTATTCTCTCACATGTGGGCCTACCAGCTTTCTCCTGCTTGATTTGAAGCTGCTAGAATTTATGCGTATTAATACGCCTGAAACACTGGCTCATAAGACGTATATATACGACCAAAACAGTCAAAGGGTTAGCCGAGTCATTTTTCAGGCCGAGGCCCTAAGTCTCTTCATTTCTATGAAGGCTGAGAGAGGTGAGGAAGCTGCTGAAGTTAAATTTGCAGCTAGCAGAGGCTGGTTTCATCTTTTGACTTCCTGCAATAAATTTTTCTCACCTCTCACCCTGCATTAAGGCCAAAAACATTTTAAGATAAGTAATGAGTGTACTATATATGCATTTTAGTTTTTGTTTTGTTTTGTTTTTAGACCTAGTTCTATTGCTAAGTTACTATATGATAGTATAAACATGTTATCAAGCATGTATATGCATTTAAAAATGAAAAAAAGGGTGATTCAATTTATGGTGACTTTCACTTTATGGCAATTTATGCTTTACGGTGGTAGCCTGGAACCTGACCCACCGTAAAAGCAGGTTCCTCCAGTATCATGAAATTGTAATAAATTTGTAATGAATTAGTTATCTTTGTGCCTCTTTCACACTGTTTGCTGGTAGAGAAGCTGGTGGTGGAACAACAGCTCCTGATTTCAGTGTTCGTTTATACTAATTAGCATACTAGTATGTCAGACACACAATCATCACCTGTGTAGTTAACCATGATGCACTGTGTGGACTCTCACAGTCTTAGATTTATTTCAAATGTATGAATAGATTGTAGAAGACCCAGAAAGTTGTGCTGAGGTCAAACATATTGGCAGGTAGCAGATTTGAAGAAACGAAAAATTGTACTAGTATGTTCGACACAGTCGTTAGTTGTGCACTAGGACGTTGGGCACAGTTTAAAGGTTAAAGGAAGGTTTGGAATGGTTATAGGTTGTATAGTTGCCAATTTATTGAACAAATGGGGATATTGATTTCTGGGAGTTATGGTTATGTGATTTAGGGGATACTTCTCACAGATCTCAGTGACTGAAATGTATCTAGCTCTCTTCACACAGAATATGTTGAGTGGGTTTTGAACCCTTGGCAAGTGAGTCCTCAAACTCCACGCCAGGACTCACTTGCCATGGGTTCAGACTCCACTTGTTCTGTGGTTTGTTTGCAGTCGTGTTATTACAATTTTGTGAGATGTGTGCAAGCAAGTGGTAATTACTTTAGTTAAGTATTTATATAATGATTTTTTTTTCAGGAACCAACCCATGGAACCGGCAAAGATTAGACACGAGTAAATTTTCTGAATTGCCCATCAAAAGTTTTGTACGGCTACATTGTGGTGGTGTTGGCGTTGACTCAGACACAACGTGGAATGACATGCATACGTCATCTGCTGCAAGAATGGCTGCTGGCTGTGTTATAGAATTAGCTTACAAAGGTATAGTACTTCCATAATTTTGGAATCTGGTATAAGCATATAAGATCATTTCATAACCTTGGTATGCTGCTGAAAAATATGTATGTTTAATGTTTGTTTTCCTTTTTTGTTTAGAAAAAGTATATTGATGTACAAAAATTGTCCCTTACAGTTGCTACTGGAGAACTTCGTAATGGATTTGCCCTAGTGCGACCACCTGGCCATCATGCAGAACACCAACAAGCCATGGGTTTCTGCTTTTTTAACTCTATTGCAATTGCTGCAAGACAACTACATCAAAAGCTTAATTTGGAAAAAGTCCTCATTATTGACTGGGTAAACTAACAAAAGTGATACTTTTTTTTTTTTTAGTTTTACTCATGAGGTCATTGCAGGTGGACATAAGCAGATATCTGGGTTGGTAATAATAATGTTCGATGTAGGTAGATCATGATGTCGAAACAAAATTATGTGATACGCAATTTATTGCGTTCACATAGATTATAAAATAAAAACTTCAGAATTTGTGTAATTTACAATCAGGTCTTCTGAGTGTATTTAGATTTATGTACCTGTGTATTTTATAATTTAATATGTATTATTTGTGTAATCAAGAGGGACATGATTTGTGTCCAGAAATTAAGATGAGACATGACTAGAGGAGAGATCATCACTTACCCTGTTGATTCCTGAAAACTAGTAAGATGAAATAGGATTACATCCTTAATTAATTAACCTGTTACAGCTTTACCAGACTATTAGGACACATAAAGGATCACATAGATGTATGAACTGCTTCTGGTTGTATCAAGTTTTTTGACATGAGCAAAGGAAAATAGATTACAATGCAACGAAACTACGAATTTTAACCCTTTGACGGTTTTGGACGTATATATACATCTTACGAGGTACCGTGTTTGACGTATATATACTCATAAATTCTAGTGGCTTCAAATCAAGCAGGAGAAAGCTGGTAGGCCCACATGTGAGAGAATAGGTCTGTGTGGTCAGTGTGCACCATATAAAAAAAATCCTGGAGCATGCAGTGCATAATGAGAAAAAAAAACTCCGACCATTTTTTTTTAATTAAAATGCTGACTTTGTGGTCTATTTTTGTATAGTATTTATGGCTCTATTTGCGTTTTCTTGGTCTCATTTGATAGAATGGAAAACATATTATAGAAATAGAAGTGATTTTGATTGGTTTTACTATAAAAAGAACCTGGAAATGGAGCTCAAAGTAGTGGAAATGTTTATTTTGGCTGATGTTCAAAAGTAAACAAATGATGTCATTGTCCAATAAATGTCCAGCTAGCCATTCTAATATGCAGTCATGAATGGGTTGACATTATTTGTACAATTATTACAATATTGCAGTAGTCTACATAACAGTAAATCTTCTAGTTTTTGTTTCAATAAAAATTGAAAACACAAAAGCAAGAGTAATATCAGAGGGACCTGGAGAAGTGACTGATGAACAAAGAAAATGTTATTTTAGAGCCAGGAATGTCTGTGTTGTTCATTCTGAACCTTATTTTGAAATTGTCATATTTTTTAATTTTTGTGAAATTGGCCAAATTGCAAATTTCTGACTACGTTATTGGGTAGTTGAAATTGGTAAATGGGCAGTTTCTTGTACTCAACCGAAAGAAAAAATGGAGTTCTAAAGAAATAGCTGTGAGTTTGGTCAACTGGAACAATGGAATTAGCTGAAAATAGGGCTCAAAGTAGGCGAAATCACTGATTTGTAAATATCGCCGAGGTCGCTAAATTTGCAAGAGCATAATTCCGTCAGTTTTCCATCAAATTTCGATTTTTTGGTGTCATTACAATCGGGAAAAGATTCTCTATCATTTCATAAGTTTTTTTTTTTTTTTTTTTTTTTTTTTTTTTTAATTTTGCAACACCAGGAGACACCTCAGGACAGTCAAGGGGTTAATGAATGAAATACAGTAGAACAGCAAATGAAAGTGGTAGACTTGCAGTGAATTAAGATAAATGAAACCTATGAAACTGCAGTCAATTATAATGTTACTCTGAAAAAGGTGGAGAAGACAAACAAAATAACATAGAGGGTTAGCATAAATGCATATAATAAGTGCAGTAAATGACAAAGAAAACTGTTTGTTTTTAGTTATTTTTGGTTGCAGTGAGACAAATATGAATAAAAAAATTAATGGAGTAAAAGAGGAGAAAAGTCAAATCAGTTTGATAACATTAATTTCTAGACTTATTAAATATATGGAGCATTTAGCAGGATGCAGAATATGAAATTATGAGACTGGAAAGAATTGACCTTTGAATTTAACCATCAATAAAGTAAGAATAAAACTGGAATTGTTTTAAAAAATCAGATAAAAAGTTTCTGTTGCTGATGGTTTTCACATACAGTGGGTATATTATATGGTCATACAAGTACTGTTTTGTGATAAGTTTGAATTATTCCATTTTTTACCTTTTTAAAAATGGTTACTGGGGTATACAGAGCTATTGCACATATTACACAGCTGCAGTTTGACAGACTATCACTACATTATTGCAATTTTCCTCTCTTGCAGGATGTTCACCACGGGAATGGCACCCAATCAATGTTTTATGATGACCCACACATTCTGTACATTTCCATGCATCGTTATGATGATGGGAGCTTCTTTCCTGGCACTGGGGCTCCCACTGAGGTAAGTCTTCCACTTTATAACTCTATCTTTTTTTTAATATGCTGGCCATCTCCCACTGACGAAGGGTGGGCCTAAAAAGAAACACTCACCATTTCACCATTATTCATGCTATCACTGTCTTGCCAGAGGCACACAGATACGACAGTTTAGATGCACTCTAAACAGCGAATATCCCCTCCTTTTATTTAGAGTGCAGGTACTGTACTTCCCACCTACAGGATTCATTTATAGTTAACCAGTATACAGCCTCTCCTCACTTAACAACGTACTCGTTTACCGACACCTCGGACTTATGACGGGCTCTCTGACCAGTATTTATACCTAAATAATGCATATTAGAGCTGTTTTCCTCTATTCTTTTTATTTCAATATACAGTACACTACTGTATAAACATTAAAAATATACCAGAAATGTTATAAATGGTGTAAAGGTGATATTAAAACAATATCAAATATGGTTGACACAAACCAACTATCATTATAGTATGCTCCTCACTTAGTGACGAATTCATTTAATGACATGGTCTTAGGAACAGAACTCCATCGTTAAGTGAGGAGAGGCTGTATATGTATGCCATCACTTTTTATTAAACTCATTGAAAAGCTAAATCCATTTAAGTCATTCAGTGCCTGGGTATTGGGTGGCAATCAGATTCAGTTCAAGGAAAGGGAGGGTGGCTCCCTTGAAGGAATTTCATTGCCCCTGGCTTCATTGATCCATAATGTTTTAGATTTTCTTAGGCTTGATGAAATTTACTGAGCATAGTCAAGAAACAATAAGTAGTATTTCTTCAGTACTTTGTGGTACATTAGGTAAATAGCACCAAAATTGAATTCATACAAGTAACAATCAAGTTTAAACATTTCAAACACCAGTTCAAACAGCTCAAATTCCAGTTCAGACTTGTCAAACTGCAGTTCAGACAGGTCACACTGCAGTTCAGACAGGTCAAACTGTAGTTCAGACAGGTCAGACTCCAATTCAGACAGGCCAAACTCCAGCTCAGACAAGCCAAACTCCAATTCAGACAGGCCAAACTCCAGTTCAGACAGGTCATACTCCAGTTTAGGATGGTCAAACTCCAGCTAAAACAAGTCAGACTCCAGTTTAGACCTGGGTCTAAACAGAAGAATCAGGGGAGATATGATAAAATCATGCAAAATACTTGGAGGAATTGATAGGGCAGACAGGGACAGTCTGTTTGTGAGGTAGGAAACAGGTACTAGGGGGCACAGCTAGAAGGTAAAGAAGTAGATAAGGCACAAGGTTGGAAGGAATTATATCTTGAGTCTCAGGAAGGATGGTAAGAGGAATGGCCTCAGTGATCTGATGGAGGCAGACTCCATACATAGTTTTAAGAATAGGTATGATAGAGCAGTGAGGCTGGAAGAGAGTAAAACTACGAAACGGTAAGTTCTGCACCACATATATGTAAGTGCACATACATAGACATGCAAAACACACACACACACAAAACACAGACACAAAAACACACAAACACACAAAACACACACACACAAAACACACACAAAGCACACACAAAACACAAAACACACACAAAACATGCACACACATACACAGACACACAAAACACACACACACACATAAAACACACACACAGACACAAAACACAGACACACAAAACACAGACACACAAAACACAGACACACAAAATGCACAGACACACAAAACACACAGACACACAAAACACACAAAACACACAGACACACAAAACACACAGACACACAAAACACACAGCACACAAAACACACAGACACACAAACACACAAAACAAAACACAGACACATAAAACACAGAACAAAAAAAAGAAAACACACACAGACACACAAAAACACACACACAAACACCAACACACAACACAAAAACACACAACCACACACAAAACACACACACACAAACAACACACAAAACACACAACACACAAAAACACACAAAACACACACACACAAAACACACACACAAAAACACACACACAAAACACACACACACAAAACACACACACACAACAACACACACACAACACACACACACACAACAACACACACACACAAAACACACACACACAAACACACACACACACAAAACACACACACACACACACACACAACACACACACACACACACACACACACACACACACAAACACACACACACAACACACACCACAAACACACAACAACACACACAACACACACACACACACACAAAACACACACACACAAAACACACACACACAAACACACACACAAAACACACACACACACACACACACAACACCACACACATAAACACAGCACAACGACACACCACACAGACTACACACGCATCACACTCACACACCATGCAAGTACATTTATAACAAGAAACGGTTAGGTGTGGTATCTACGCCAGGACGTCAGCATGCGAGATGGGCAATCTACAGCTGTACAATGCATGCAAGTGCTGTATTACCTATGGTGGTGTTTATGGGGTTTTGATTTCCATAAGCCAAGCTGATAGGAATGGTCACAACTCCCATAGTACGATAAAGAATAGGCAGTCAAGTACTCAATAAGAAATAGCAATTGGTAATTTATGGAACAAGGCAAGACAGGTTTCTATAAGTGTAGGTGGTACTAAAAGTCCCAGGAGGGTGTGGGTCAGGTAACAGGAGGGTGTGGTCAGGTAAGGGACCACTGAGACTACACAAAACACTCCAAAGGCCCCTAGGAGCTAGTGATCATGTGGTTCTGTGCTTTGACTACATAGCTGAGCTTCAAGTGGAGAGAGTAGCAGGGATAGGATGGGAAAAACCAAACTACAAGAGGGGGGACTACTTGGGCCTGAGGAACTTCCTGCAACACATTCAGTGGGAGAGAGAACTAACAGGAGAACCAGTACAAGAAATGATGGACTATGTGACAACAAAATGCAAGGAGGCAGTGGAGAGGTTTGTTGCCAAGGGAAACAGAAATAGTGGGAAGACCAGAACGAGTCCTTGGTTCACCCAAAGGTGTAGGGAGGCAAAAACTAGGTGTACTAGAGAATGGAAAAGGTACAGAAGACAAAGGACCCAGGAAAACAAAGAGATCAGCCGAAGAGTGTGAAAAGAATATGCACAGATGAGAAGGGAGGCTCAGCGTCAATATGAAAATGACATAGCATCAAAAGTCAAGTCTGACCCGAAGCTGTTGTATAGCCACATCAGGAGGAAAACAACAGTCAAGGACCAGGCAGTCAGACTGAGGAAGGATGATATAGAGTTCATAAGAAACGACCAAGAGATATGTGAGGAGCTCAACACGCGATTTAAAGAAGTATTTGCAGTGGAAACTGGTAGGACTCCAGGAAATCAGAACAGGGAGGTGCACCAACAAGTGCTGGATGAGGTACACATAACCAAGGAGGAGGTGGAGAAGCTGCTATGTGAACTTGATATCTCAAAGGCGGTGGGACCAGACAACATCTCTCCGTGGGTCCTTAGAGAGGGAGCAGAGATACTGTGTGTACCACTAACAAAGATCTTCAACACATCCATTGAAACTGGGCAACTCCCTGAGGTATGGAAGATGTTAAATGTAGTTCCAATTTTTAAAAAAGGAGACAGACACGAGGCATTAAGCTATAGACCTGTGTCACTAACGTGTATAGTATGCAAAGCCATGGAGAAGATCATCAGGAGGAGAGTGGTGGAGCACTTGGAAAGAAACAAGTGTATAATCGAGAACCAGCACTGTTTTAGGGAAGGAAAATCCTGTGTCACAAACCTACTGGGGTTTTATGACAAGGTGACAGAAGACAAGAGAGAGAGGGGTGGATAGACTGCATTTTCTTGGACTGCAAGAAGGCCTTCGACACAGTTCCTCACAAGAGGTTACTGCAAAAGCTAGAGGATCAGGCACATATAACAGGAAAGGCATTACAATGGATCAGAGAATACCTGACAGGGAGGCAACAATGAGTCATGGTATGTGACGCCTGTGACAAGCGGAATTTCACAGGGGTCAGTCCTAGGACCTGTGCTGCTTTTGGTATTTGTGAATGACATAACGGAAGGGATAGACTCGGAAGTGTCCTTGTTTGCAGACGATGTGAAGTTAATGAGGAGAATTAAATCGGTCAAGGATCAGGCAGGACTACAAAGCGACCTGGACAGGCTACAAGCCTGGTCCAGCAACTGGCTCCTTGAATTTAACCCTGCCAAATGCAAAGTCATGAAGATTGGGGAAGGACAAAGAAGACCGCAGACACAGTATAGTCTAGGTGGCCAAAGACTGCAAACCTTACTCAAGGAAAAGGACCTTGGAGTGAGTATAACACCAAGCATGTCTCCTGAGGTGCACATCAATCAGATAACTGCTGCAGAGTATGGGCATCTGGCAAACCTAAGGATAGCGTTCCGATACCTCAGTAAGGAATCATTCAAGACTCTGTACACCATTTACATCAGGCCCATACTGGAGTATGCAGCACCAGTTTGGAATCCACACCTGGTCAAGCACGTCAAGAAATTAGAGAAAGTGCAAAAGTTTGCAACAAGACTAGTCCCAGAGCTAAGGGGATTGTCCTACGAAGAAAGGTTAAGGAAAATCGGCCTGACAACACTGGAGGACAGGAGGGTCAGGGGAGACATGATAATGACATATAAAATACTGCGCAGAATAGACAAGGTGGACAAAGACAGGATGTTCCAGAGATGGGACACAGAAACAGGTCACAATTGAAAGTTGAAGACTCAGATAAATCAGAGGGATGTTAGGAAGTATTTCTTCAGTCATAGAGTTGTCAGGCAGTGGAATAGCCTAGAAAGTGATGTAGTGGAGGCGTGAACCATACATAGTTTTAAGACGAGGTTTGATAAAGCTCATGGAGGAGGGAGAGAGAGGACCTAGTAGCAATCAGTGAAGAAGTGGGGCCAGGATCTATGACTCGACCCCTGCAACCACAAATAGGTGAGTACACACACACACACACACACACACACAGCACACGTATGTAC